AAAAGGATAAGGTTTGGGAAAAAAAACAGGGAAAGTTAATTAGCCCACTAGACTAATACATTTATTCACTTTTTGTGTTAAAGATTTGATTTAATTGTTGATAAGGTCAAAAAGGCCAGTGAAGTCAAGATGAAACTAGCCCATCTAAGACCAATCATTATAGTTGGCCTCAATGCTGACCTGTGACATCACAATAGCTCGTTGCCTCATCACAGGTCAATGTTCAGGCCTTCTATAACCATTTGGTCTCAGCCCAAATCCCTTTAAAATGGAATGAAACAACTCAAACACATTTATTTTTGATAGCCCAAAATACAACCTTGAAAGTAGGCTACTTCATGATGATTGTCAATCAAAAGAAAATTTGTAAGAAAACAAACTAGTAGTTGACAGAAAAACATATTCCTATCAAATCCAGATATCCATTTAACCAATGTTGCTGTGCAGAAGACATCACCTGATTATGATCCAGAGAAAGGTTGCAAGTGGTCTGCTCAACAACTTAGGAAATATTTGGTTGCAAGACATGGTATTGATACAGTAAGTATTATAACTCTAGATCTTATTCTATTATCAACCAATAAAAATCCCCTAAGTTTGTTTGTTAAGGCCAGAAAAAATTGTTAAATCTACTCAGAATGTTAACATACTATTTGCCTTATTGCTGCATGTTTTGATTTTAAGATTCTTTAGTATTGAGTTTCATACATTTCATATTGGGAGATATTGTATTGCATTGAATTTCTCTTCCTAGGTGAGACTAATGTTCACTGCCATAGACAATATTATAATCAAGAGCTTACAGAGTGTTCAGAAAATTATTATTAACGATAAGCATTGCTTTGAAATGTATGGATACGACATACTCCTAGACAGCTCTCTTAAGCCGTAAGTTTTTGACTCAGCATACAAGTCTTAACGTTTGGTCATGATAATCGGGTTTCAACTCAAATATGTCCTGTCAAAAGTAGAAGGAAGAATTGAGCCTGGTTAAATGCCAGACCAAAGATAAATATGCATATGAAATCTAATGTTAGTGGAAGATTGTGTGAATTATCTGATGTCAGTAAGTTCTCTTGGTCTTCCAGGTTCTAAATACATGTTAGTTGGCTTTACATATAAAATTTTTATTTTTGGTTTGGAAATAATATTGAAGTTAACAGCTCGATAATTAATTTATTTTTATGTAAATTATAAAATGTTAACAAACTTTTTATGTATAGCCCAAGCCAATGATGCTTCCTTTTCATGCTTGGCATTGAATTCTTCAGTATTGTACTATTGTATTTTTAGTTGGCTTATAGAAATCAATGCATCACCATCACTCACAGCTAGTGGTCAGGAAGATTATGAGCTCAAATTTGGTTTACTCCACGATGTCTTGAATGTTCTTGACCTTGAAAATAGGTAATGAATATCTCAAATTTGTGTGCATGCCTGAGTGTATGTATGGGCTACAGAGGAAAGTAACAAAACATTTCAAGCTTAGTTTTATGTTACACACAAATGACATCCCCAAATGTAGAGTTGAAAAAAAAAGTTAACTTAGATGAGTTTCTGAAATTTAAGAAAACAATGTGTCACAAAAGCCAAACACAAATCCTCTTTCCAACTCCTGGAAGGAACCAAAATACTTCATAACAAATAATTAGTTCATGACCATTTTTAGACTAAGCAAGAGGGCGCGAGAAGCTCTGTTTACTATAAACAAAAATCACCATGAAGTATTCATACAAGCATGCAGCATAATTGTTTTGTTTATTGAATATCAATTAGGTTGACGGGAAAAGAAAAAAGAATAGGAGGCTGGGATCTTCTGTGGGACGACGGTCCAGTTTTTATTGATGCCATGGAACAAGACGCTGGACTGCCTTCAATATTAACACCAAATTCTTTCTTAGGTGAGAGCTTAGACTAGTTTAAGTTTCAGATGCTCCTTGATGGCTGCCTAGTCATATGGTATGTGCTCTGGACTGTTGTACGATGGTCTTGGGTTTGAAATCTGTCTTGCAGGAGGTTTTACTAGGAAGTAATAATCTTCAAATCTAAAGGAACATCTAAAACATAAAACAAAACTAAAAAAAAAAGAAGTTTCATTTGTTCTTAACCTAATCTCCTTCATGACAAGTAGAGTTTCAACTCAAGACCAACTGATACATTTTTTAAACCAAATTCTGTCCTTTGGTTGTAAACGATATAGATCAAAACAATTTTTTAGATTACAAACAATAAATGTAACTGCAGTAGTCATTTCTCTGAAAACATGCGGATTTATGAGATGTTTCAATTTGCAAACTAAATGCTAATAACCTTTACCTTTATCAATGCAATAACTTATGTTGAGGGCAACAATGAACTAAGGGTTTTGGTTCTTGCAAAGAAATGTCTTTCTTTCTGATAAAAGAAAACTGCAAAGATCCAACTTATTTAAAGCACACCAACAATATTATTTTAGTTCAATTATCAAACAATATCAATTAGTATTTTGAAATTTAGTGTAATAAAATAAAAATGTGTCATCTCACTGGCCAATCTTTAAGTGCGATAATAGACCCTTGGCTTTTGCATCCTCATCATCCAACTCCCAATGGAGCCTGGGCTTGAGAAGCTCAAATTTCTGGCTGACAAAAGACCTGGACAGAAACCCTGCTGTTGTGCGTAGTGCAAGTATGTTACCATACAGGACAAGAAGTAGTGGTTTCCCAGACTTGTCAAACTAGAGATCAGCAAGTCTGGGGTAATCAAAAAGAACATGAGACATCGTTTCTTCTCCCTCCCCACAGTACAGAGTCAAAGTTTGTCCAGAACTGTTGTAAGTATACACTGTTCTATAATACCTAGGCCTGGTCAGGGGATCTCAAGTGCCCCAAGACTTCCTACCTCCTTGGCAAGAAAAGTTTAACCTAAACTGTTGGCAAAGACATGGAAGTTCTTGTGATGAGTCAGTGTCATTTATACATTTGCTTCTTAAAATGATTTAACACTAGGTAGTTCACTACGCAGAACTTGTTATGCCATCATTGCAAGTGAGTAAAAGTTTATAACTGATTCAATTTGTTCTTTGCTCAGGTTGCGACAATCAAAGGAAATCTCAACTGAGAGAAACATATGCATTAGCTGAAGCCTTTAAAAATAGTTCATAAGGATGGGAAACTAAATAAAATTGATGTCATTTCAAGTTGTTGTTTTTATAATGTCGGTCAAGTCTCTCAGGGTAAATCTTTTAACTACATTCCACTTTTGGAATACAAATAATTGTCATCTGTTAGTATTATAGAAACAAATTAAGTCCTATATGTATTTTCTAAAACATTGTATTAAGTTGTTTGTGATTAGCTATATACATAATGCTCATTTCATAATTTGATGCTGGGAATGTGTACATTAAATGTTTTATGAAAGAATCAGCAACTACCTTAGAAAGAACCAATTCTGTTGTGAGACATAAACCCACAAGATTATAGTGTCATAACAATGTTTGTTATTTCATATTGTAACTAATTTAATGTCATAAGAATGTTTGTTATATCGTATTGCAACTAGTACAGTGGAGAAACATCTGATATTGTTTTTCAGATTTTTTAAAATTCTTAAGTAGTAAACTCCAAGGATGTTCAGGGAAAGAGAGGGGAGGTCATACGTTTGATATTAAGCAGCTGAATAACTGACTCTGATACTTTGTATGCTGTGAATCACAAGAATGAATGTAACACCTTTTATTTTAATTCAAATGCTAATTAAAAGTGAATCACAAGAATGAATGTAACACCTTTTATTTAAATTGAAATGATAATTGAAAGGAAACAAAAACAACTTGGGATAAAAATGGCTGGAATGAAGATTTTAAAAAAAATATGCAGCCTGTCAATTTGCTTTAGTAACAATGAAAAAAAGTATAAACAGCTTTTGGTAACATTGACATCTTTTATTTTATTGTGTGTATCATTCTTACAAAAAACAAAAAGCCAACATAAGTTCAAATGTGTGTCAGACTTTAAAATGAATGGTTATTTGTCTGAAAAAAATATATTACATATCATCTGCAACCTACAAAAAGCTAAAAATAATAAACAAAACAAAAATCATTAAATAAACAATATTTTATTTGTTAAGTTTTATTATTTTTGTTACCTTTGTGATGTGTTCATGTTAATAATATCTAATATATAAACTTGCACAGGAATATTTATTGTCCTTTAGAACCCAATGAGGTATCATGATCAAATAAATAATGGAGGAGATCTTATAGGCAAATTTCCATTGAAGATCTGTCTTAATCTAGTATTTTTAATATCATAAATCACTGATATATAGTATAAATAATTAAAATAAAATAACACAGCATAGAAAACATTAAAATTGTTGAATTAAATAACTATCTTGAATTATATACACAACTTTTTTTGTATGCATGAGTTACTCTAACTCCTATGTTAAACAGCACAGAGACTGAGAGTCCCTAACAGTTTTACACAAGTTCTTTCAAATAGTCTATAATGAAGTAATGAATTGGCATCTAGTAGAATTTTTGCCTAGCAGTGTGTAGTTTAACAAGTTATTCATGATACCATTTTTATGGACTAAATTGAACAAAGAAATCATGTGACCAGCACAACAACCACTTTTACTTCCTCCAACTTATATGCAGCTTACATGCCTAACACCCAAAAGAACTCAGGTTCAAACTCTTGTTGATTCAGAAGACTTACATTTTCATCAATCAAGCCAGCACATCTTCAAATGTAGTTTTAAAATATATTCTAAATGATTGGCAAATGTCGCATCAATCATATTTTCTTGGCCTGCTGTGCAAAACTACTAATAGCCACCAGATTTCATGAAAGGCATCTGCATTGGAACACTAGGAGCATTTGAGAGCCTCAAAGTTGTACACTCACTTGAGACATTAATATATCAATTTAGAATTGCTTCAATGTTTCTTATCTTATAAATTACAGATGTTCCTTTTAAAAAAAAATAATTCTTATCTTATAAATTGCAGATGTTCCTTTAAAAAAAAAAATTGTGTCCTCTGCCTATTGATGTGTTAATCTAGTCGTGCTAACTTAGTTAATTAGGGACTTCCTAAGTCACGTCTTCCATGCTGATTCAGGCAACCTGTTTCATGTTCTAATGGCACTAGGGAAGAAGGAACATTAGTCCTAGTATATGGAAAAAGAACATGTAAATGCTTTTATTTTTAAATAATATAATAGGACATTCCAGGTGGAATTAATTTATAAACACTTCATGCTCAATGTAAAAAATAATGTCTATTTACATATCACACTTTAGAATAAATTGACCAGTATGGTACATCTAACATTCCATCTAAATATGCTCATTTCAGTTGGAGAAAAGAACAAAAACTATCGGGATAGAACAAAAAAGTACTAATTTTAATTATTTTGTTTTGTCTTGGCTTTCCTATTTTTGAAAAGTTCCAACCCTTCCTGAAATGCCTTCTGGCTGATTCCATCAGGGACCAACATGCATGTAACACCTGAGACAAGACAGAACAAGAAGAAAAATGAATAAAAGATAAATTAGAGCTCAGTTAATGAAAGCTAAAACTAATAATCACAAAAGAAAAAGCATATTTATTATTATTATCTAATTTATACATATATATATATACATACACACACACACACACATATATATATATATATATATATATATATATATATATATATATATATATATATATGATTCTCTCCATTCAGGTAGTGAAACAGTATGGTGATACCATTTTTAATTTGATCTTTGGTTTAGAAAAAAAACTAATTGCTACATCTTCCTAAAATGAGATATTTCAACACAATTTTGGCCCTATACAAATAAAGGAAGTTAAGAGACTTGTGAAGAAAACTGAAAAACATTTGGCATTACATAATTATATACAGTGCAATTCATAAGTCTCCATCTCTATAACTAAAATAAAATAGCTGTAATGACAATAAAACAACAGTAAGAACAAACTAAATGTGTTGCACAACAAAACAGTAAGAACAAATGATGGTAAATAATAAACAACTTCATAGCAACTGTTCACCATGTTGCTCCAGACAGAGATTGCATCCTGAAGCTTAAATAACATTTACGTACATCTTCTTGATTGATGTTTATTAGTTCACATGAAATTGCTTCAAGTTTTTTTGAGTGTTATATAATTCTTATGGATTGCATAAACTTGATCTTTAATATAGCTCCATAGCCAAAAGTCCAATATCCTGAGGTCTGGAGATGTGTCAGTTCCTTTGATTCTTTACCACCAATACACCGTATGGCAAATGTCTATCAAGCCTTTGTTGTGCTGGAATACTGAAATGAGGCGGGGCACCATCATGTTGATACCAATGTCAATTGTCATTTCTAATGAAGGACAACAACCTTTGATTTTAAAGTGACTGTACTTTGTTCATTGTTTCACGACAGATACTGAAGGTTATTTCTTATTGTTGTTTTATATAGCTTTTAAAAGATATTAACAGTAAATACCATAACAGAAGAGAAAAAAAATTAATAGAAAAGACAAAATAACTATAACAAAGAGTTTTTAGTCTAACAAATGTGTAAACCATTTTAAGTTTAACAAAAATGTTAAAGAGAATGAAAGAAAAGATCTCATTTGTTAGTTGGTATTAAATAATTTTATTGCAAAGGTATGTACTTTAGATAGTTCAAAAAGCTTCACGTGTTTTTGGTTGTTTTCACAATGAAACAACATTTGACAAGTTTCTACTGACTAAATGATGAGGAAGAAGATGTAGAGGCATCATCTAATGTATAACGTCTTCTTGAAGGTCTGCGTTTAGACTTTCTGCGCTTCCTTTTCTTCTTCAATTTGGCCACAGCTCGTTCTTGAAAATCGTCAAAGCCACGGTAGAGCTGATTAATATTTAGTCCATCATTAACTAGCATGCAGAGAACACCTATAGGAGGGGGTTCATGGATAGCAAATGCTAAGAGTTGAACAAAGAATTACTAACTCATCTAGTTTCCCTTCCAAAGGCTAAAAAGAAAACATTTTTTTCTTACATTTAAATAAATCTTCCTCTAAAAAGATTACTTTATAGTACCATTACTATTTCCTGTTCCCATCTAGCACGATTCATGCACCCTTTGTTTTGTATACGCATCTATTTTGTTTTTAACACCCCTTGATCAGACTTAACAATGTCTTCCATACATCATCCCACCAACTTTTGTTTCTAATTTACACCAGCAATGCTCATTTTTCTCAATGGCTTATCAAAACTTCTATCAAACTACTTAACATTTTTTTAAAAAGATAACACACCTGGTTTTAAAAAGATTCTCTAGATTTCAAAACAATATTTTTTTTTTTACCAATATATCTTATCATTGCATAGAGATTGTCACTACTGTATTTACTGTCGCTACTGTATTTATTGTCGCCACTGTATTTATTGTCGCCACTGTATTTATTATCACCACTGTATTTATTGTCGCCACTGTATTTATTATCACCACTGTATTTATTGTCACCACTGTATTTATTGTCACTACTGTATTTATTCTCATAAGAAATGAAAAGAATGATCAGTTGCATTTCTTCTTCTTCTAGCAAGCTTTATTGCTGCTGAGCTGTGAGCTCTCTTGCAGACTATGCCAAGGAAAAAAAGTGTGCTGTTTTCTTCAGTTGTTCAGCACTGCCATACAGGGTGTTGATTATGTTATCAGTTGCATCATAAAATGGTGTAAGTACGTAGGCTTATAGTAAGACAAAAAAAAGGACCTTCTTACCTAAAGATGAAACATCCAATATATTCCTATGCTCATCATCATAGAAGAGCATCTCTTCATAAGGAACTCCACTTAAAGAATGCAGCCTACAGAATGAACAAGAAAAACAAAAAATACTTTACAAAATAAAACAAAGCTTATATTGAGTATAATTGTATCCATTAGTTTAGATCAGTCATGTCATTACATTTGTAATAGATCTACACTATTAATAATAAATATCTTAGAAATATTTTTACCAATTGTTTTTGTTTAGTGCAATTTCATGCTTTTAGCTTTCTCAATCCTATCACTTGTCTGGACCTGTTGGGAAAAGGAAGGGGGAGGGGTGTGGTGGAAAAGACAGGTGTTTCTGGGTGAATGTTACCATGATCGCTTTTTAAATGCATACCTTGCTCACTCAGGGCTCAAGCCTCCTCAAGAGACTAATTCAGCTTATACCACCACATCTGTCAAGTATGATTTCTTTCCCTTGTCCGATACCAAACAAAATTTTAATTACAAAGTGGCTAAGAAATCTATTTAGTATTTCCACATGTCTATGTTGGTGTTAGCTCAAGTAGATTTGTTTCATCCTTTTCTTTTCAAAGTCACAGAGTACACTAAAACATTACTTATACAACTATTTGTTTCAATAAACCAATGAAGAAAATATAGCTAGAAACAAAGTCAATTCAGAACCAAACAAATCTGAACTGGTCTCACTTCTTGAAATGTGTTATTTTACTGCCAGGAAAAATTTGTCTGTACTGAAAATACTGGTCCCAGTTGAACAATTTGGTTAATTCATTGGCTTCAGCTATTGCACTTGTTCTGTCAAAAAACAAATGAATTAAGGTATTAGCAAGATGTTTTCTATATTAAAAAAGTATTTATAACTTGTTGCTACATTACGTAACAAAAAACAATATATGTATATTGAACAAATTAGAAGAGATGCCCTTGGTAAAGGAACTGAACACAGCCATTGACATGCTTGCACACGGGAAAGCACCTTTCAGTTCACAAAAAAAAAAAGACTGCCTTTGGCATACGTCTTCCATATGAGATACATGCACTGCCAGGGCACAACTGTCAGACCATAAGAAGCCCCTCTATAATGTCCATACTAACCTTCACAAGAACATGTTTCTTTAGATAATACTATCATAAAAAAATGTTCTAGAAGTAGGGAAATGCCTTATGATCATATATTTGATCCTATATGACTGTGTCTAAACTCTACATAGCCCTTAAAGTCTAGGATTGCATTGCTTGTATTTGTAGGGGAGCACTTGAATTTAGAAGCCTATCATAAAAAAAGATGCATGTGTTAATGATTAGAACATACCTGGATGCTATGGCAAGCTGAAAGCCTGATTTATGGAGATGGTTTAAGATATCAGGGACTTCTTTATAATACTTGACACGCTGTTGGTGAGCATCATAGACTTTACCATCGCTGAAACATAAATGGTGGTTGAGTAGAAATATACTGTAATGTGATGAATTAATGAGATAACAGTTCATAGTAAAGCATGATATTTTATTTTTAAGCTCTTATAGTGGCCTGATTTTATAGTTAGGCTTCACCATCTATAATAATGCACATAATACAATGCTCAATCCATTTTATTGATGTTTTATCGTTTTCATAGGACAAATCAATGGATAAAGTCTAGAGTAAACAGGTTCATTGATAGTGAAGCCTTTCCATTTCACAAAATTTGTCAAGTAAGTAAATAAGAACACAATGGTCGTTCCTTGGAGTACAGGATACAATGTAGGCTAGAAGTAATTTATATAAGATAATATGATACTGTAGAAATTAGAAGAACCAAATACATTTAAACATTATTTTCTAGCTTAAGTACATGCTTTTGGTCATTATGGTGTTGTTATAATGAAATTATGAGATTCTGAGAACTTATCTAACATTTTTGTAGTTAGTTTCATGCTAGTTTTGGTTTTATATTAAGTAAAAATACTGAAGACCATGAACTGCCAAATAAAATGAATTTCTTGAGATATTCTGTGACTTACCGGTACACACTATCTATCTATATATATATGTATGTATATATATATATAATTCTCTTCTTCACTTAACAGTTTGGACGGGTAAGAAGTAAAGGAAAGATCACTCTCTCATTTCTGTGGATAGTCACGGCACGAAAAAACAAGGGGGGGGGGGGGGGGGGGGAGAACTAGTGGTATTCACACGTCACTATGGATGGCTGCATGCTGGACTGTCAAACCCTGCCCGCTCCCCTCCCCCTTTGTTCTGTGGGAGGTTTGGACTAAGAAGTAAACTATCTTTAACTCTAAAGGAACATCCAAAACATGTAAAACATTTTACAAACAAACATTTTACAAACACTAAATAGCAGCGCCGGACTTAACCATGGTGGGGCCAATGCGAAAAGGATTTGGCGGGGCCAAGTTTGGGTAGGGAAGCGGATAATAAGTGAAATTTATGAGTTTGTATTAGAAAATAAA